TGAGATTTTCCACTTGAGGAACAGTTACGGCCTCAACTAAGGCAATAATGGTGGTGTATGAAAAGAAGGTACAGACTTAGGAGATAATTTAAAGGCAGAATTGTCAGGCCTTACTAGCCAGGTCCCTAAATATAGAACTGACATAAAGGAAACAAGGATTTGGAGAATAAAAACGTTTGCCCATGAAGGGTTAATATGAAGCTATGAATTTTTTTTGCTTTTCTTTTTTTAATTTAATCTATAACTACTAAATGTATGACATTAATTATTGGGCAGTGATACTGCAAATTGCTCTAGCCAAAGAGTAGCTTGATATCAGTACAAAGAAAGTAACATGGAATCTAAAGATCTGTAAACAGAAGAACTTCCTTTTAGCTTGAAATCTAAGCTGGACGCTTAATTTTCTGCCAAAATCTACACTTGAAATGGCTTTAGCCATCTCACTCTCATTGTGACTTATGGGATGGTGGTGATGAGGGGTGCAAAACCCAAGCCTCTAATCGGAGATAGCTCAGAGATGAAAATCAGTTGCAGGATCCCCCTCCACCCCCACCCATCACCATTCTGTATAAACAATCACTCATAGGAGGCTTTTTGCAGATATGACAGAAAACAAGCATCCTTAATAATGCAATGAATAGGGATTCTGTTACTTAAAATCCGAATTATAAAAGGCTGAGAATTTTCTGCAATTTGTTTGAAAGGCCTTGGGAAAAAAAACACTCACCCTAAGTCCCTATGGGGCACAAAAATCACCTGCAGACAGTTCAAAACCAGACAATAAAAGAAGGGAGAACCCTAAAAGAGGTAATCCCTCTAATTTCATTGAGTCTTTAGTAAGGAGAACTGGATGCCAGTTATCAGAATCATGCCATATATTATCTATCATTGTCAGTTACACACAAAAAAGTATGCTGTAGTCAACCATACTGGAAATGTGCACAGCTTTCATTATGTGCTATGGTTCAGTCATGCTGCACTGATCAGTTTGTGGTCTTTATGACTTCCTTCAGGTGTTGCTCCTGAGAAATGGTGTAACTGCAGTTACAGGATGGACTCGAACTGCGGCCCATAATTGGCAGCTGAATTCAAAATCAAGGCTGATTCTGCTCTGGCTTTTCTATATGTGATATGTACCCAAGTAAAGATGACTTGTGAATCCTCATTGGGATTTCAAGTCAGATAGATGCCCTGAATTTAAACCCTGGGTCTGCAACTTACTAGTTGGATAACCCTGGATAATTACTTAACCCTTCTGAGCCTGTTTCTTCATTGATAATATGGGGGAAATAAATACCTACTTTTAAGATTGTTATATCAGAGATAGCATACGTTAAGTTCTAGCACTGTGGCAGATGGTAGGTTCTCAGTTAATTATTATTATCAGAATTATTATTATAGAAAACATCTAATTCTGAAGTATAGACTCCTAGGACCAACAAGAAAGAGAGTTGTGGGAAATAGGACAGTGTTTTAGATGGACTGCAGTGATGGCTAGCAAGCCTACCCTAAATAAAAGACTTTAGAGAAAAAAAGAAGACAAAAAGCTTTAAAATCTGTTTGGAAATCTTTATGAGACTTAATCATCAGTTTTCACTAAAAATCCTTAGAATATATTTTCTAACACCAAGATAGTATACTTGCATAGTGTAGATGCCCAATATATGTTAAATAAATGAATAAAAACATAAATAAATTAAAAAATCATTTTGATAATTATTACTTTTATGAGTGTTTTGGTCCTAGCTTTGTAGTCATGTGAAACTTGCTATTTCATAAGTCCCAAAGAAAGAAATGGCTTTAAAAAAATGAATTACAGTTAGTTAGTTATTTACATGCCCATTTCTTCCCTACCAGATTATGAGCCACGCGCCTTGGTCATCTTTTCATCATTCATTCAAAAACTTTTTATTGAGTACCTATGAGTACCAGGCATAGCACATGGTACTGAATGAATTAAGTATGTAGTCCCAGGTAGAGATTTTTCTAAGTGATAGTAGTACGTCTGTTTTGATTTTATGTACTGCATGTCTCAGCAGGAAAAAAAGAATGTTTCTTTGTTGAGATAGAGATCATTATCTATGTGTGTGAACACTAAGATATTGCCTATTTTGAGAAATGAGAAAACATAGACCATTTTCAAGTAGACCAAGATAAGCAAAAGGGGAAATGGCTCCAAAAATACGTTTGTGAAGAATCACTGAACCAAATTACAAGTTAGACAAGCCAACCATTAGAATAAGTATGTTTACTGAGAAGCAAGCAAAATAAACAACCATAACTTTAGCTGGCATTGTTTCAAGTAGGCAGATTTTCCAACTTTGCTAATCTTACACCCATCAATAACGGATTATTATGTGTAATGACTATCTTTTCCAGAAATCAGCTATAGGCAACTGTTTAATGGCTTTTCCAAATGGGAAAGAGAAACCTTTTCATGGCATGTTACAAATAACCAGTAAGTTTTATCTTGCTTATATGCAAAGTTGACACTAAATTAATGGTTATTTCAAAACAATCTTCCATAACCATGGTGTCAAAAGAAAATGAGTAAAATTAAATCTCGGCACATGTACATTTTTTAAACATAGCAATGTAATGCTCATTTTCAGTCTCAGTGGGTAGAACAACACTATATGAATTTTGCTACAGGGATTCCTTTCATTATGTTATAATTTACTAATATTTGTGGTAGCTAAAGCTAAATCAAAATATTTTGGCCAAGCCCCATTACCTATAACTTATGTTTATTTACAATACATTTTCTGTTACAAATAGTACTTACTTTCACATTTCCATAAATTTTGCTACCCTTAGAAAAATATACAGATCTTTTCTTTTAGAACAAAACCTGGAATTTTTATTCTAAGCATGTTTGTAATAGATGATATAAACAATGGATGTCCTTATAGATTCTACATATTCCATTATGTAATAAGCTAAAGTCTCAGTAAAATAGTAACTAAGTATGCATAATATTGGATATTTATAATAAATGATTAGAATATCTCTATAGCACCCTAAAATGAGAAATGTCTATATATTCTAAAAATTCCTCAAAACAGAATTACAATTTTTTTTTTGTTTTTCTTTTCTTTTTTTGAGACAGAGTCTCACTCTTTTGCCCGGGCTAGAGTGAGTGCCGAGGCATCATCCTAGCTCACAGCAACCTCAAACTCCTGTGCTCAAGCGATCCTCCTGCCTCAGCCTCCCGAGTAGCTGGGACTACAGGCATGCGCCACCATGCCTGGCTAATTTTTTCTATATATTTTTAGTTGTCCAATTAATTTCTTTCTATTTTTAGTAGAGGCGGGGTCTCGCTCTTGCTCAGGCTGGTTTCGAACTCCTGAGCTCAAACAATCCGCCCGCCTCGGCCTCCCAGAGAGCTAGGATTACAGGCGTGAGCCACCGCGCCCGGCCCAGAATTACAGTTTTAAAGAATGGCATATTGTTTCAGAACGATTTATCAAGAAACTGTATTACAACTGGTTAATCATTGTGTTAATAAATTCTAGCTGTAAAGACAAACTTACACTACAATTAAAATGTCTAAGCTATTTCATTCTAAAAATAGAAAAAGAGCCATGGTAAATCCATGAACGAAGAAATAAACTGGAGAATAGTGATGGAATCTTTAAGGGAATCTTCATTTTGTACTAAATCATTCACAATAGAGACTTTTATTACACATGAGAGCAATAAAATAGTGATACTAGGGTTACTGCCTAAGACTTCAAAGTATCTTTTGAAATCATGCTTTCTAATCTATTAGAAAGTATCAGTGATGATACCTTGGCCAGTTTTATAGGTATCTTAATACAATGTTTAGCCTGTAAAAGACACACAAAAACAAGTTGCATGAATGAGGGAATCAGTCATGAATGAACCACTAGTTTAAGATTCAGAACCCCCCCTAGCCCCAGGCCTGCTAGTAACTACTATGTCATCTTGAGCAAGTCACTTAATGATCTGAATTAGATGCACTTCTGGATTCCTCCAGTCCTTTGGACCTTAGCTTGTATGACACCTACATTCTGACCAGTCTTCAATGGGTATAAGAAGATGAACAAAAACAGTAGGGGGCAGCAGAACACTTCTGATTTCACATTTTTAGTTCAAACTACCCTTTAAATCCTGAGAAATTTCATCTATTCCAATCTTTAAACAGCTTTTAAAAATCCATCTAACAGCCTAGACGGTCTTGTCAGTGTCTTCATTATTGACAGTCACAGGGGCTTATTTTTCAGTCTTCAAATCAGATACAATTGACAGGGTAAATTGGAGGAACCACAGAATATTTCAGTTTGAATCGAAAAGAACAAAATATTCAAAGGCTTTCTTATAAACGAAAATTAAAACTCACATCAAATCATGTATTGAGGTTTTAGTCTGCAAGCCTCTTTTCTAAATCGCTTCCTGTCTTTTAGTATACATCGGTTAATATTTTAATCCAAGTTGTGCTTCATAGAATGATGGTTGTTAAATTAACATACAATTGACTTCATATAATTGACTTGTCTGATGGTTCAACTTACATGTTATTTTGCAGTATAACTATGTTTAGTTCCAAAGAGATGTATGCCTTTAACAGTACATATTTTGGAATTTTTTTTCAGTTCCATACCAGAAAAATAACATTGCCTTAAAATCACCAGGGGGCGGTAAAAAGGGGAAAAACCTACATGTAAAAAAGACTTGGTAAATACATCTGCTGCAATTCCTAAGGTGATAGCCCTGCCAAGAAATATTTTTTATTCATGTTTTAGAGGTTTAGAAGTTGCCACTGTACTCTGTGAAATGCTTAACACATTGAAAACTGATAATATGATAAACTTTTAGCCTTAAAATATAAGAAACCTTATATTTACCTTAAAATATAAGAAACGTCTCTCAATTTTTATGTAATGCAGCAAACACGTACCTCTTCTGCATGAGAAGGGAGGATGGTAGAAAGGCTCATGAAACTTTAATACCCATTTAAAAGTAATGAACATATTTACCTGCTGCAAAAAGCATGACAGCAACAGGTCTGTAGAAGCGTCTTCGAGATCCCACGCAGATGGAAATCAAACCCACCAGGAACGCAATGAGAATGATGGCAGCACCGCCCAAGAGTAAAGCCAGAGTAGCAATCTGCCAATCTGGAAAGAAAGAAAGACAGGCATTGCTTTTAAACAGTAAGTCCTGAAAGAATCAACAGAACTATGCTCTGCAGTCTTCACCTTGCTGCAGCTTAACAGATGTGATTTTACTGCATACTAAGCATCCTTTGGGGTTTAAAATGTTTTGCAACAAAAATTAATACAAATGCCCTTATTCAGAAGAGTCTCCTATGCTAAGCTCAGCAGAGTTTTTAGACCAGGCATTTGCCAAGTTTTTCTTCTAAAGACTTTATTAAGCATTCATGTTAAATCGAGTGTCCCTTCCATGACCTATTTTCAGTATTATTATGATTTAAATTTTTAGTGAGCTATAAAGTTCACAAATCTTAAGTATAGAAAGTAGAGAAGTTGATGAATTTTTATAGATATTTATACACCAGTGTAACCACATCCAGATTAAGATATAGGACATTTCCATCACCCAGAAGATTCTCTCATGCCACTTCCTGGTCAATAACCTCCCACCCAGGCTACAGAGGACATCTGTCACCATAGATTAGTTGAGTTTTGCCTGTTCTTAAACTTCATATAAATGGCATGAACTCTTTTGTGTCTGGGTTTTTAAGTCTCTCATATTCATGCATGTTGTGTGTGACAATAGTGTAATACATTCTTTTTTACTGCTGTTTCTTCTTGGCAAGCCTTCCTTCACCGAATAAAAATCCCCCCGATTTTTATTTGCCTCTCCCACCCCACTAAAACAATTCCCAGGCAAATTAGCATCAAGAGGATTTGTTGTTTGCTTTTTTCTCCTCTTTTTTAAAATTCCATTCTAATCTCATTGTTGTATTTACCACCACAGGGATGGTTTCTGAAGTTAAGTATCCTCAGGGAGCCAGAATGGACTCAAAATGGCTACTCAGCTCCTGTCTTCATTCATATATAGAAACAGTAACCATGTATTGACCATTTACTATGTGCAGGCCTCTGTACATGGGACACTTCAAAAGAGTCTCTTACAACACACTTAGTGACATGTAAACCCCCTTGAAATGCAGCTGTCATTTCTTATAAAATAAAAATGTAGAAATGGTATGACAGAAAACTGGGCCATTTTCCATTCTTAAGAAGAGTAGAATGTTCTCTCAGAAGAAACAAAGTGAATCTATGAAAGTACTATACATAGCTTAGGAAACATCATATAAAATGATTCTGTGAAGAGTAGCACTCTTCAGCGGTCGTTGCTTAAAAGCCCCAGGCTGCCTCTTCTGGCCCTCAGTTCAATGTATGTGCAGCAAATGCAAACAGATTTTAATCTATAGTAAAATTGCAATGGATTCTATCCAAAATCCAGAACTCATGGTATTTTGATGCTTTCTTCTGAACTCATCCCTCCAGAAAGCTTCCAAAGTGTACTCTTTGCTGCAGTAGTGGAGGAACCTACAATACCCTAAGATTTTCTTCTTTTATTTATACTTTATATATCCCTGCCTTAAGAATCCTCTCCCATATCCTCTCCTCCTATGAAATTCTGGATGTTTCATGGGCGCTCAACTAAGACCTTCACTGCAATCAGAAAACAAACAAACAAGAGGAAAATAGAACAAATCCACCTCTTAAAATATAAAGATGAATCACAAGAAAGTGGAGAGCATTTTTTATGCCATCTATTTGTAACAAAGCCATACAACTTCAAACAAAAATGTATGAGGCTTTCAACTAGCAGTTAAAAGGATAGGCATACTAAGGCTTTTGTTATTCCATAACAGCATGTAGCTTTGAATTAAAAAGCCAAAAGAATAACCCTTACATTTGAAGTCTCTAAATTTCTTTGGAAGAGTTTATACATACCACAATTATTTTGCACTTTAACATAATGGAAATCCTTCTGAAATGTGTGTAAGTTGAAATTTCTGAGTTAAAAAAAGTTTAATTACATCCTAGTGTTTGGGGTACAAAGAAAAGAACAAAATCAATCCATCCATCCATCCATCCATCCATCCATCCAATTCCTGGAGAGTTTGGTTAAGAGAGCCTAGGCTGAATACTTTCTAGATGGACTATTACTTTTATAAAATGATTATTACTTTTAGCAACTTTCTCCAAACTATTTTACATAAATAAAAACTTTTAAAGTGTTGGCTTTATTTCAATCAAGATATAACTAAGTATCTACTCCCTTTAAAAATATCCTAAAATAGCCAGGCATGGCAGCTCAAGCCTGTAATCCTACCACTTTGGGAGGCCAAGGTGGGAGGATCTCTTGAGGCAAAGGGTTTGAGATCAGCCTGGGCAACATAATGAGACCTCATCGCCATGAAAAAAAAAAAATTCTAAAATAAAAATGCAATAGATTGCTTTTTCCTGGTAAGTTTTCATATAACCCAATGTGCATAAAATACCACACATTTGACTATTTTCACTTTCAGCCCAAAACCAAATATGAATTAATTTTGATCGTTTTCATCTATTTTAAATATCCTCAAAGAATAGCTAAAATGCACATGTTGGTTTGCATTTTTAAAGACAGACAAAGATAGAAAAAATAGGCAAACTTTCCCTATAAAGGGCCAGATAATAAACATTTTTGTCTCTGTAAGTTCATGGTCTCTGTTGTACCTACTCAACACTGCCCTGTAGTGTGAAAACAGCCATAGACAATATGTAAATAAATGAGCATGGCTGTGATCCACTAAAACTTTATCTACAAAAACATTTTGTGGGCTGGTTTTGACCTTGCTGCTGGGTTGCTGTTTACTGACCTCTGGTCTATACTTTATATACCATTTTCAAATGCTGAACTTTTTTTCTAGGTAAAGGCCTCTCAAACAAGAAAAAACACACAATGGAGTCAACTTGATAAATGAGTAATACAGGAGTGCAAAGTGATGCTTATCCAATATAGCAACAAAAAATTACAAAAACTCTTAATTGCACATGTTACATTTCCTCAAAATAGCAGCACATTATTTCGCATGGAAAACCAGTAAAATGTAATAGGAGAAGGCACCAGGAGAATAAAAGTTATTAAAAGGGACTAGAACCTAATTAGGAAAGGAACCTCTCGTAGCACAGGAAATACTACTCAAAATGAGAAAAACACAATCAGTTCTGGATTTTCTTCTAAATGTTCTATGTTTATTTTCAATACTAAAGTTGTGGCCAATGAGAAAGTTACTCTAGATGTAAAGTCAACAAGGAGTGTCATTAGCATTACCACTGTTGTAATACTGCTACCCTTCCCTCTGGTCTACAACCAGAGATATGCCTGCTCAAACAGAAAAGACATTTTTTTTTTCAAGAGAGACTAGAAATAAGCCATAACTACTACTGTTCTGGCCAAAACCTGGGGCTTAGACTGGATTATTCAGACTATATCCCTGGTAGATGGTGCCAAGTTTTAGAATTGTTGTCATCATATCCATTTGGAATGATTCACTCAGGCCAGTTGCCCAGAACCAAAACTTTAAACCGCTGACCAGCTGAACCTCAATCAGGAAGCTGAAAAAGTGGTTAGATATGGCTACCACAGTCAAGGAGGCCTGGGGCACTTGTCAAGGTTCGGCATGGGCATTTTGGAGCTTACGAACAGGGCCTGTGGCTTTGTGCCTCTTTCAGTAAACAACTAGAATCCCCCATTATCCAAATAATCGGGCCAGGCTGAGAGGTGAACTAAAGTCAGGGACCACGTAGATTGGCCAGTTACCATTTCCCTCTCTTTTACTGAACAAGACTGGGATATGGGGAATAAAAAAATGAAAAATATTTTATAAATACCTACTAATAGCCATTAAAATAATAGGTTGGGCTTTGTGTTTATATAGGTAGATAGGTATTTACTTGCCAACCAAAGTCCAATACTAGGTTTAATAAGAATATATACATAAAAAAGGTTTTATTACATACTGTAAGACTTGGCCAATTTATAGTAATATTATAATAAATGACCAGAAAACTTGTCTCTACTCTAATGATTTTTCCATTAAAAGGTTTACATTCCACAAATACTTGCTATCCCATATTGTTTGCAAAACAAATTAAAATGTCATAAAATTCTCAATTTCAAGCCCCATTTCTTTAAAAAAAGTCATATATTTTAAGTTCTTATAATCAGTTAATTTCTATATCAATCTTAGTTCTCCAATTATAGCCCTCACAGTATTTAGTCAGATGAAGTGTTAAGAATCCTTAGAGATTTATTACTCTGTATTAGTACTCCACTTTCTACAAATGATGTACTGATACTGTAGTGGAGCAGTGAACATAAACCAGCCCTGCAGAACACCAACGGCTGTGGTTCTCTTTTACAAACTGCAGTGCTCTGCACAATTAAAACTGCCCATTGTTCAATGTCAGGCCAGCTGATTGGAAATCTGAGTTTAGTTTCTAAGACCTGAGAGAACAGGTGATGATCAGTTTTGAGGAAATAAGGTACATTCTTGGTCCATAAATCCAGGAAGGCTCAAATGGGCTGAGAGGCATGTTTCGGATCTAGAAACCAAACCTGAAATGAGGCTGCCATATTACATGTCAGGTTCCTCAAGAGTATTTTAGCAAAACGGACGCAGTGACACCCTGGAGGTATTGGAAGTGCACCTAGAGAAGCCCAGGCACAAGATAAGTGCATGCTTCTCTGTTAGTGCTTTCCCTAACAGAAAAAAAAATTAGAAAACAACAGGAAAATGTATATATGTAATGTTATATTTTCCCCTGTATTTACAGGATAAAAATCAGGCAGTCCCTATATTACAACATCAAGTCCAACATTAACTTGCAACTCAGGAACTAAATTCAAGTCCTTTTGCAAGGCATTTTTATTAGCTGGCATCACAGTTTTCAATGTCTACAAAAGCTTCAGTATTCTGCAGAATTGTGCTGACTTACTTTAGCAGTTTAATATATGAGACTGGTCTGAAATTGTCACTGAATTATGAAAATTCTATAGGCCAAATTATAATTTGCCCAATTGGAGAATTCTTATTCCCTTAGGGAACTCATGGTCAAAATTCACTTCTGATTTTCAGCAAAGGCAAAATCTT